ATATTTTAAAATTAAAAAATATAAAAATTGGTCCAAAAGGTACCACCCTATTTTTGTCCTTTTTTACTTTTTGTTTTCACTTATAATGCTTGCACAGACTAACACAGCTACCCCTTCTACAACTAGAAGCTAGAACAAACCAAGACAAGACCAGCTCCATGGGTAGTGCGCTGTGGCATCTGAACCCTGGCCTACAGGCCAAAAAAAAAAATTAAAAAATATAAAAATTGGTCCAAAAGGTACCACCCTATTTTTGTCCTTTTTTACTTTTTGTTTTCACTTATAATGCTTGCACAGACTAACACAGCTACCCCTTCTACAACTAGAAGCTAGAACAAACCAAGACAAGACCAGCTCCATGGGTAGTGCGCTGTGGCATCTGAACCCTGGCCTACAGGCCAAAAAAATCCATGAACACCCGTTGTTGTTGTTGTTTAGTCATTAAGTCGTGTCCGACTTTTCGTGACCCCATGGACCAGAGCAGGCCAGGCCCTCCTGTCTTCCACGGCCTCCCGGAGTTGGATCAAATTCATGTTGGTCGCTTCGATGACACTGTCCAACCATCTCATCCTCGGTCGTCCCCTTCTCCTCTTGCCCTCACACTTTCCCAACATCAAGGTCTTTCCCAGGGAGTTTTTTCTTCTCATGAGATGGCCAAAGGATTGGAGCCCTTTTTTGAAGTGCAGTTACAGCAGATGGCGCTACACCCACCTGGAATAGTCATTGGTGTGCCTTAAGCTCAAGAAGCCAAATAAAGGCCATTACTTATAGGGCTGACATGGGCCACACTTCCTCTCGCGCCCTGTCCACCTGTTTGGGTTGGGGCAGGAGCACTGTCTGAATGTTCCCTCTTGTCGATAAGGCTCTTCACACTTCACCAAGCAAGTGCAAGAACATCAGCACCATTCTTTCAACTATAGTGAGAAGCCCCAGCAACAGAAAATGCCAGAGATTTACATCTAGACAGCAGACAACTGTTCTTCAGATTTCCCTTCCCAGTTGCTTAATTCTTCTGTGCCTAGGCTTACCATTAAACACTTTCTCACACACACTCTCTTCAAGGCGGCTGCAGTCTTTTCCATGTACAGTTACTTCAACATGTTCCAGTGAACAGAGCAGCTGAGCAGAGCAGGGATTTCAACGGCGGCCTTCCAGATGTACAACTTCCACCACCTCTAAAGTGTGCTGCTTATATACCACCACTGAGCACTTAAAGCAATCTCTGGGTGGTTTACAAGTTAATTAAGCAGTCTACATATTCTCCCCCCTCTCACACACACAATGAGTTCACTGATCTCAGAGGGAAAAATCTCTTACATTTCACCAAACTTTAAAAACCTGATTTTTAAAAAGTCTTCCCACATCTCCAAGGACCTTATACTGTCAACATTTTTTTCTTAATTTTGGGGGTGATGGGGATCAAGGACGGGTTCTGTACTGCTGGAAGCCAGAGTCTAAGGTGCAGCAGAAGGCATATGTGGTCCTAGGAATTTTGGAGGCTGCTCCCCCTGATCTTATTTCATTTCATTTCTATTCCACCCGGTATGTTATGACTTTCTTGGGATCCATGATCACTGCAGATGGTGACAGCAGCCATGAAATTAAAAGATGCCTGCTTCTTTAAGATGATGACAAACCCAGACAGCATCTTAAAAAGCAGAGAAACCACCTTGCCAACAAAGGTCCGCATAGTCAAAGCTGTGATTTTTTCCTGTAGTGATGTATGGAAGTGAGAGCTGGACCATAAAGAAGGATGACTGCTGAAGAATTGATGCTTTTGAATGGTGGTGCTGGAGGAGACTCTTGAAAGTCCCCTGGACTTCAGGGAGATCAAACCTATCCATTTCGAAGGAAATCAACCCTGAGTGCTCACTGGAAGGACAGATCCTGAAGCTGAGGCTCCAATACTTTGGCCATCTCATGAGAAGACTCCCTGGAAAAGACCCTGATGTTGGGAAAGTGTGAAGGCAAGAGGAGAAGGGGACGGCAGAGGACAAGAGATTGGACAGTACCATCAAAGCTACCAACACGAATTTGACCAACCCCGGGAGGCAGTGGAAGACAGGAGAGCCTGGTGTGCTCTGGTCCACAGGGTCACAAAGAGTCAGACATGACTTAATGACTAAACAACAACAACAGCTGAAATAGCCTCCCTTATGCCTCTGCAAAGTGGATCATTCTTCATGGTGGGGCACAAAGGAAGCCCCCTCCTCCAGCAGATCTTCGTGACTGGGCAGGTCTGTACTGGGATCCTCAAGTATCCAGGTCCCAAGCCATTTAGGGCTGTATGGGTTATCATCACCATCTTGAACGTGGACTGGTAGTGTATTGGCAACCAGTGCAATTCTTTCAGAACCAGTATCATATGGACTCTGAAAGGTGTGTCTCCTAGCAGACCTAAACCACAAGCTCACTTAATTATTTCAGGGCAAGCCAAATACAAAGTGAAGTAGGAAACTGGAAGCCTCAGGCACCATAAATCAGATAACATTCAGCTGTGAACATTCAGCTGTGACCTAGTGTTTGCCCATCCATTCCTTTAGACCAGTGGCTCCCAATCTTGGGTCATCCAGGTGTTCTTGGACTGCAACTCCCAGAAGCCTTCACCATCAGCTGTGTTCTGCTGTGCTGGCTGGGGTTTCTAGGAGTTGCAGGCTAAGAACACCTGGCTGACCCAATGTTGGGAACCACCGGTTTAGAAAAATGAACCATCTTGCAGAATGGTTCCACGTGAGCTTCCATCAGCCCTCCGCCACAAGGCTGAATAAGGGTTACGCAAATACCTCAGTGCAACAACCATCATCAAGAGACTAGAATGTGACCTGGCGAGGAGACTATTAAATCCAACATAAAGATTCTTGACACAGCACTGCCTGACCCATGAATCAAAGCCGTAAGGAGTTTATGGGAGAGCAGAAGGCAGATCTCTGAGACAGAGATGTGGTGGACACAAGAACTCCAGTGTCTGACAGTAATTTCCATCACAAAACCGCCCAGAGATTGCTTTAAGTACTATGTGGTGGTATATAAGCAGCATGCTTTGGATGTGGTGAAAGTTGTACATCTATCTGGAAGGCTGCAGTTGAAATCCCTGCTCTGCTCAGCTGCTGTGTTCACTGGAACATGTTGAAGTACACAGAAAAGACTCTTGTTTTAAGAGATGGGCCATACATTCCAAACTGCTAGTTGGGAAGGAGTTTGAAAACAACCTGCATACTGCACTATCCTCATCTAAGAAGCGAACCTGGCCATGGTTCAGCCATGTGAATTTGGGACGATAATAACAGCATGTAAGTTGGAACTACCCACAAGAACTTGATGCACAGCCTTGAAAAAGATGTTTTCTCATCAAAAGTTCACTGTTTTCTACCCACAAGTTTTGTTTTATATTCTTAATGGTCAATTAAAGGCATCACCTGTTCTGGTATTTCTATTGTTTCCACAACCATGCGGCCTCTTCCTGATTTTTCCTGAACAGAATAAGGAAACCTTATCAACCGAGGTGACCAAGACCGAGGGTCAAAGTGCCTTCAGATAGCGACAAGACCAAGGACACCCAACCCTTATGGGCCTCTGCTGCACAGATTTTACTAGCAGTCATAAGATAACGACTGCCAGTTAACCTAGATTTTGATTCAGCTCAAAAGGAACCGGGGCAGTTATGTCAATGAACTCTGGGTTTCATTTCAAGCAGAGCAACCTTGGAGTTCAAAAGCAAAATAGCTTGGAAGGCTGGAAGCTTTCTCATTTTTAAGATCCTTCCTGAAGCTAGTCCAGCTTACACATGCATGCTGGACAGTGGTACCTTGCGAGGGACAGCTACGTTTACTGTTCTTTGTCACGTTTAAGGCTAATAATTGTATTAAGATATATTTCTGGAGGATAGTGAAACAGACCCAAGGGGGAAAAAACTTAAATCATAACCTAATTATTAACCTTTAATGCACTAAAAGATGATAATGATCAGTGATATGGACAAATTCCAAATGCATGGATAATTAGCATATACTCCATCCCTATAAAACAAGCACTGCCATCTCCCAGTTTAGGTAGCGGCTGACCCTAGCACCTAGCCATCACCACTATAGCTGCTGGCCAGACCTCTCCCATCCTTCCTTCGTCCGCTCAGCTGGCAAGTAAGGCTTCTCTCTCTTTGACCTCCCCTTTGCTGACCATACTGCGCCTGGGGAAGCAGGCAAAGAGGTACGTCTGCGCAGGCAGAAGGAACAGAAATGGACTCTACTGAATATGTAATTCCTAACGGGGTTTAAAGAGCAGGAGCCTTTGCACAAGAATGGGGAGCATCTTGATCTGCTAAGTCTCAATTTTGAAAATCAAGCCTAAGGAAGTTCATTCATTAGTACTGATGATGATGGAACAATTTAAAAGTGAGCACGTGCATGCATACCCACTCTCTCACACACACATATACAAACTCACACACTGTATTACCATTATCTGTTTTTTGTTTCTTTGCAGAAACCTTCTTCTTTCCTGACCCACTTTCTTGCTTTATCTCATGATGGAGAAGAGAGTCCTGCTTCTTTGCTGGGGACAGAAACGAATCATTCTTGGCATCCTGGTCATCTATAAAAAGATGAGATGAGACATATCAGCCTTTGTAGATCCTCACGTAATTGAATGTGAGGGGGGGTGTCATGCAAGTGTTTAAGATGGCTAGTTAGCTAGACAGACAGAAGGAAGCCAGTCCCCGAAACTCTACCACTCCTAGCCTTCGTGACCCCAGAACTCAGGTTCAGACTATCGAAACAGAAGCAGGCAAAAATGTCAGTGGTGGAGTCCCTAAATACAAGGAAAAGATTTAACCCTCACTCAAATAGTGTTTGCATTTTCAACTTATCTATTTAAGTAACCTGGACTTTCTCACAAAGTGCCTGGGCAGGCTAAGATTATGTATATACAACAGCATGACACACCAAACCCTTTACATTCGAGGTCTGGGACAGAGACGAGCAACTCTGGCAAGCCCAGTGTTAATAGGATTCTGGCCACGATTAAGGCAAAGCTGTCTACCACCAAGCCAAAAAAATAATAATAAAAAAAAATAAGGAACATGCTCACCAAAAGGAAGTCCACATGAGGTGCGACTATGGGCCTCCAGGAACAGATCATACCAATAACCCAGCTCCGAGTCCACCCATGGGGTTTGTGGTATACAAACACTATACACACTGTATTCGCGAAGGCTTTTACGGACGGGATCTAATGGCTGTTGTGAGTTTTTCGGGCTCTTTGGCCATGTTCTGAAGGTTGTTCTTCCTAACGGTTCGCCAATCTCTGTGGCCAGCATCAGAGTGCTGCCCTCTGAAGATGCCGGCCACAAAGACTGGCGAAACGTTAGGAAGAACAACCTTCAGAACATGGCCAAAGAGCCCAAAAAACCCACAACAACCACTATACACACTCTTCCCCACCACAATGACAGATACCATGCACTTCAGTACAGCTACTGTTTAACAGAAGCATTAGGCTGAAAAGTTTTAATATTAGAACAGTTAAAACAGAAAATCCACACCTTCAACTTTCCTTCTCTCTCTCTTTTAATTTAACCATCTGGACCCGGGGACAAGTTACACCTAACCTTGAAAACTTACTTGAGTGTTTCCATTTTCGATGCTGCACTCCATAAATTGAGGCAACACTTTGTTCCAGCAAAATCAGGAGGTGCAAAAGCATTGTGGGTGAAGTCTGCTGAGGCAGCAGGTAAAAATTCACATGCGAATATGAAGCTGTGTATCAGAAAGCAATCACTGGAGTGCAGAAGCGCCTTTTCCTCACAGGAGGCAGAAACTTCTATGCTGTGAGAGCTACATCCTGATGCCACGTCCTATTTTGAACCGGCTTCTTTTAATAAAGTATTGCCTCACTTGCATCATCATGCTGAGCTCATGCAGCTGCTAAAAGACTCTGTTCAAAAGAGGTGCTCTATTTTAGCTATCCAGCAAAGATTTTCTGCAGAAGGAAGGGCTGGCCAGATGCCGCTGTCATTATGGATCAGCACCACTTTTGAGACACACACTTTATTCCTTTTAACCAGAGAGGGCTATATTATCCAAGTTTATCTTGTACCTTTCTTGATGCATTCCATGAAGAATTTTTTAATTATTATTATTGCAATGGCTTTGAACAGCCCAATAACAGCTCAACTACAAAGGTGTCTTGGAAACTATTTCGAATATTATCTCCTCCCACAATCACATATACATTCTGAAACTGAACCTTTTATCTGTACCACTGAGTTTTATTTTTAAAAAAATTCCTTCTAAAAGGCTGTCTTCTCCCATCCCTTCTAGCACCATTGTTTCAATAGGAGAGGCTGAAATCTCTCTCCAATGAAAATCACTAGACTGGAGCAACAATCCTATGCATTTGATCGGTAAAACAAAACAAAACTCAGTTAAACATAGCTTATTATTATTTCCTTAGGACTGCAGCCATAAGCATTGACTGACTGGGGTGAATCATATCTTGTTTTAATGGCTAAATGGCACTGCAATATCTTTTTCGTGCCACACTCAGATTTAAAAAGCCACTGTGTGCAACTCAAGATCACACTCTTAGCATTCTGAACATTTGTTGGAAAAAGACAGCTTTCTGGCCTGGGGTGGGATTTAAACTGGAGGCTCTCATCCAAACTGAAACCGTAAATTGGCTTTCAGACAAATGTTCAATGAGCAGCTTTATCATCGTCTGGTTCATTTGCCACTTTTCCACACAATCCATTCAGAATTTAAGGAGGCTACTGCAAAGATAGGGAGGTGTCGTCTTTCTGCTAAGAACAAACTTGTATTCTCATTAAAGAATACTTAAGAGTAGAAACACACTTGAGACCAAGGACATCTAAGGATCGTGCTCTGCACAGATTTTAATGCAATATTCTAATTTTGTGTTTAAACTGAAGGATTTTAAATCGTTTTAAATATCTTTGGTCTTTAAAATGTTTTATACTGCTTTGCAACCTCCCCGAGATCTTGTGATATACCCGTATTTTTCGCTCCATAAGACGCACCTTTCCACAAGATGCACCGAATTTTTAGGAGAAGAAAACAGGAAAAAATAATTTGTTTTCTTCTCCTAAAAATTGGTGAGCCTTATGGAGAGGTCCATCTTCCGAAACACACCCTAGGACCCTTTGGAGGCTCACCCTGCCCCCCGGGGGTCAGAGGGGGCGACATCGCCAGTTTCTGGGACTCTGCTGAAGCTTCCCAAGCCTCAAAAGAGTCTGAGAAGCTGGTGATACCCCCCCTCTGGCCCAGCAGGGGGGGCAGGGTGAGTCTCTAAAGGGTCCTAGGGTGTGTTCCAGGACCCTTTAGAGACTCACCCTGCCCTCCCCCAGGTGAGAGTGGGTAAAATCACCACCTTCAGGGACTTGTGAAACTTCCCAAGCCTCAAGTGTCCCAGATGG